AAGGAATACATAAACACACAAACAACCAAACAAGCAACAAACAAACAAACACACAAACAAACAAACACACGAACAAACACACAACCAAACAACACACACACACAAGCAAACACCAACAACAATACCACCACCACCAACAACAACAACAGCAACAACAACAACAGCAGCAGCAACAACAACAACAACAACACCAACAACACCAACAACAACAACAATAATCCGCATCGCGGAATTCCACTTCAGCCACGCACCCAGGGACAGTGAATGACCGTTCGGTTCAGCCCCCTTACCCTTATTTTTCGCCCGAAATTCTTCTGTAGGGGGACGTGCCCGACTTGAGAGTATTCTCCTTCCACGGTTTAGTGAGGGCAACATGACCGATTCGCGGGATCGTGCCCATCTCACCGCACCAGGCTCGAGGGTCGGTCGACGCTGTGTGCCTTCTCTCGCGTCGGCTTCAAGACGGAAATAGAATGAAGAAGCAAGTCGGGGAGAAGCAACTCGGCATCTCTGCGAGTCCGCGGGCCTGGAAGATGTATTGGACCTCCTGAACTGCTCCAGAACGAAACGCTCTGGCTGGGAGCGTTCCAGAACGCTCTGCAACGACGTACCTTCATGCTGGGCCTGCCCGGTTTCGAAGCGCCCAGCGCGCTTCTGCGCGGCTATGGCCAACAGAGCCAACCAAGAGGGCACATCTTCTCCTGCCTTCGGAGGCGACCCGGGGGTCTGCTCTGGATGGGCCCGGCGAAAACTGGTCACACATGCTACCAAAATCTGTCCCCGGAACCCTCTCGGGGTCACTCTGGTGCGGCTGTCCACCCCAGATCAGTTTGAAGGGGCCCTGGGACACACAAATAAATACACACAAATAATGAGATTCCCAATCTTTTCTAATATTTTCTAAGTTTTTGTCTTCCCCCCACTTCCCATATTTGCCCATACTTCGGGGAATCGACGATTAATCATGTCTGTGTGTTTTTTCCCTCCTGAAGCCAGCTCGAGCCTCGCCCCCCTTCCTGCCGGCAGGACCAGGTGCCAGGCCGCCGCAGACCCCCACCTGACTCCGAGCCTAGGCTCACGACTCGCGACCGGACCTCTGCCCCCTGGTGCCGCTCGCGGACAGGACCCAGAGATCCGACGCCGTGATCTTTCCAATACGCGGTCCCCAGAAGTCTCGACCCCTTCCCCAGGACAGGTTTGTCATTTCTGACGGCCCCGAGGCCCGGCGAGGGGCCCCGTGGGCCGAGACTTGCGAAACACCTCCGTCTTGATTTTTGTCAATGCGCTGGACCTCTGGGACCATGGCCCCCGCCATCATGTCTACCCCCACCCTGGCCATCCCCCCCCTCGTGGCCGCCCCAGGTGGACGGCGGCGGTCTGACCGGAAAAAGCGCACAGGGGCGGAGCAGCTCAAAAGCGCCTCCCTTTGTAGCAGACCACCCGCCGGCCCGAGAGGCCCCCCTCGCCGGAGGGTCCTCCGGAGCGGCGCCTGGAGCCGACCAGCCCCGGACGGATTCCGCATCCCAAGGATCGGCAGGCCCATGGCATTCTTCTGTCGGCGTGCACAAGGTTAAGTCTGGCCTGACCCCTACAGGAGGATTTTGGACGAAAAATGAAAGATACCAAACAAATGCGCCAAAAAAATTCAAAAATGGTCAAAAAGTAGTCCCCATACTATTTTTTGACTATTTTTGAATATTCCCCCTGTAGAGGGACAGGCCCGACTTAAGCACAAGGGGGCAGGGAGAGAGGGGAAGACTTCTCAGAAGGAGGCTGCTTCTCAGAAGGCGCGGGCCTTGTACATCTACAGACAAGGCCAGCGCCTTCTGAGAAGCAAGGGTGCTTCTGCGAAGCCTTCCCCCCTTCCCCCCGCTGCGCGTGGCCGAATGTTTGGGGAGGTGTCCTCAGAGACTGAGGGAATCCTCAAGATCGGCACCGAGGCAAGGTGCTGCCAAACATAGGGATAGGGACATGCTTCAAGCCTCGAGCGGAGGCTTCGCGGAGGCCCCTGAGGCTTCTGGTCGCCTCACTGGGCATCCGATGTCCTGATTTGTTCAACCCGGGGTCCCCAGACACCCCGACCCTTCCCCCAGGGCCCGTTTTCCATCCCAGGTCGTTTCTGACGTCCCAAGGGTCCGGCGAGGGCACCCGGGGGCCAGAAAAGGCCCCCAAAAACATGCGTTCGCGACTTTTGCACAGCGCGAGCACGTCAGGGTGTGGAGGCCAGGGAGCGACATTCGAACCTCGGCGGCGACGACGACGTCTGCCCCCCTCCCCCCCTCTTCTCCCTCTCTGCGCCCAGGAGGGAGATACAGCAGGTTCGTGCCGTCACGACGTCGGCGCTGCTTTCTGACACCGCGTGGATCGTTCAACCTTGCATAATCGCAGTGGAACGCACGACTATCATCACCTGATGGAACGCCCTGATGGAACGCACAACTAATTATCATCACCGTCGTCGTCGTCGTTGTCATCATCACAACAAGCATTACCATTACCGCTGTCAAGATAATCATCACTATCATCACCGTCACATTCACACTTGAGATCACGACTGTCATCATGATTGCCGTCGAGATTGCCGTCGAGTGCTGTCTTGAAACTCAGTTTGTCAGGTGCCATCTTGAAAGTCAACTTCACACCTCTTGACCAAAATTGCCATTCAATAAGCGCCATAATTCTCCGGCCCCCGCTTCGCTTCGGTAGCGCGAAACAGCCTTAATATTCTGGCCTCCCCCCCTTTGGAAAACGGCGCCCTAATATATGAGAGAGCGTGATCCACCGCCGCTTTCTTTACTGTGGAAAATTCCATCCCTTTTTCCTCCAGAAACCCGGGGCCCCCCTCCCCTCCGAAAATTCCCCCCCCCCCCCCACCTGCTGGAACCCCTCCCCCCCCCTCCCCCGGCAAACCCCCCCACCTCCCCCCCCCCCCCCCCCCCCCCCCTCGAAAACCGGGGGGGGTCACTACTGGTCCGAACCCACCCCATCGAAAACCGAAGGGGTCACTACTGGTTCGACGAACCCCTCCCCCCCCCTCACCGCCAGCAAACGACTCCCGGTCCCTACCACCGTCGACACCACATCCCCCACATCTGTTCCCAGCACCACTGTCCTCACCACCACTGTCCCCACTGGTTCCACCACCGTCCCTACTGTCCCCACCAGTGCCCCCACCACTGTCGCACTGTCCCCACTGTCCCCACCACTGTTCCCACCACGGTTCCACTCTCCCCACTTTCTCCACGGCCCCAATCACTGCCCGAATATCCCCACTGTCCCCACTGTCCCACTGACTCCTCCGCTGTCCCACTGAGCTGTCCCACTGTTCCTACCACTGTCCCCACTGTCCCCACTGTATCTCTGTCTCATTGTCCCACCGCCGTCCTCGCCACCACCTTTACCACTGTCCCCACCACCACTGTACCCTCCACTGTCCCACTGTTTCCACCACATTCCCACTGTCCCCACACCACTGTCCCCACCACTGTCCCACTGTCCCCACTGTTCTCACCATTGTCCTCACCACTGTCCCCACAACTACCGTCCCCACCACTGTCCCACTGTCCCCACCACTGTCCCGCTGTCCCCTCACCACTGTCCCCAACACCACCGTCCCCACCATTGTCCGCACCCCCCCTGGTTTTCGAGGGGGGGGGGGGTCGAACCGGTAGTGACCCCCCCCGGTTTTCGAGGGGGGGGGGCATCGAACCGGTAGTGATCCCCCCCCCAGGGGCCGCTTAATTAGGGTTTTGGAGTTGAGTCTTAAAAGACGCCGGAGCCCTACATCTACAAAGCAGGCCCGCGCCTTTTTCAGAAGCAGGGGTGCTTCTAAGCAGCCCATCCCCCCTCCCCCCTCGTGGAATGAATCACGGCGGGAGGTCTTTTGGCACTTCACTGCTCCCCCGGGGCCCTTGCCGTGCCCCAGCACCGTCAAGAACGACTCGAGGGGTGAAAACCCTGTCCCCAGGAAGAGGTCCCAGACAGAGGCCTCCTAGATGAGGTCGGAGTAGATGGGGTCGGAGGATCGCGCCGCATCGCCGATGCATCGACGATGCATCGGCGATGCACCGGCGATGCATCGTCGACGTCGGCGATGTATCGGCGAGGTCGACGTGAAGCAAATCGGGCTCCACATCGAGCCGCATCGACGATGCATCGGCGATGCGGCGCGACCCTCCGACCCCATCTACTCGGACCCCATCTGGGAGGCCTAGACCAGACCTCTGGGCAGCCCCCCACCCCCCTCCGCCCGTGGCTGGCTCCCGACACCGCGGAGATCGTTCGTAGTGTCGGCTGACTCGGGGCTAGTGGCGGGCGGTTCCAGCAGCGTGAAGCGCCGGCGCCCTTGAAGTGCCAAGCGCGGGGCGCACGACACGGACCTGTACTGTGTGGGGAGCGGGCGCCCGGATGCTCGCCACTGCAGCGGGCGGCGGGAGGGCTCGATGCGGGAGCCCTCAGTGGCAACTTGCGCGCAGTGAGGGCTGTCAATATAGATGGCTCGGCAGGATCCGAGGCTTATTCGCGCGCTCGTGCCCCCTCATTCTCCTACTCGTCATCCTCATCCGTCTCCCCCTCCTCCGCCTCCTCCTCCTCAATCGGCGCTCAGCCGATTATCCGACACGCCAGCGCACGCGAATGCGCTCGAAGGGCGGAAAAACGAGCGCGCACACGGGGCTCCGATGGTTTGCCTCCGAAGCAGCGGGGCGAGGGGCGGAGGGGCGTGCGGGGTGCACTGGAAGCGACCTGGCGGTCGTTGGCACGGTGTTCGCCGCGGCACTGACATCGGCTACACGCAAAAGTGACCCTAGGTAAGAGTGACCTTTGGTGCGCGACTTTTTGGGGACCACGGGGGGACCAAACCTGAGTGCACAAGCAGCTGCTACTGCTTCGTTTTCAGCCATCTGGGGACCCATCTGTGCCCGCACCAAAGGTCACTCCGGCGAAAGGTCACTCTTACGACTGGTCCATGACAACACTCGAAGCGTTCTGCCCTGGGCAGGCTACCGGGCGGCGCCCTGCGCCATCCCCGAGAGTTTGGCACTTTCGATGAGCTGGGCGATGCGCTCGGCAGTGCGCTCCGCGCGGGCATTGGCGGATCGGATCTCCCACTTCAGCGACTCCACGTCGACGCGCGTGGCCGACCCCCTCATCTGCAGGCAGCCATCGATGAAAGCTTGGAGGGAGATGATGCCAGAGTCGCCCACGTCGAGGATCTTGAAGAGCTTCCACGTCTGCTTGGTGTCGATATCTAGAGATCCGCCGCCGGGCTTTTAGCACGTTGGGGCGTGCCGACTTGCTCGCGGGCTGTCTGGCAGGGTGTCTTTAGCTTCCCACGGCCGTGTCCCCTCCCCTTGCCGCAGCCATAGCCCGAAAGCCGCCTCCTAGTGTTTGCTCCCTGGCGGCCAAACGAGCCCCTCAAAGCTCCAAGACCTCCCAAAGATGCCGCAAGAGGCCCAAATAAGCATCCAAGAGACGCCCAGAGAGGCCTGAAGCATAGCCCTCACAGGCGAACTCATTGAATAAGTGCTCAGGAACCCATTGCGTTTGCTTCTAAGGTTTTGCAGCTTGATCGCACCTTTAAACAACTTCACATCGCCAAACAATTCCAAAACGGTCCGCATTGGCCCCAAGAGCGATCTAAGACGGTCTCAATACTGCCGAAGACACCGCAATACGGCCCAAGAGGGCTCCAAGACGGCTCTACGACCCGCACAGACGTCCCCCAAAAGGTTCAGCCGACCCTTCTCCGGAGAGCTCTGTGGAACCATCGCGACCAACATGGCCCCGAGACCCCCGACGAGCCTCGAACATGCCCCCAAGAGGCCTCCAACAGGCACACGAGATGCGCCAATAAGCACGTAGCCCCCAATAAAACGACCAGAAAACCTGCGAGTGGGAGGATGAGGAGGACGAGGAGGGAGGGAGGGCTGGAAGGGAGGGAGGGAGAAAGGAAGGAGGGGTAGGAGAAGGCGAAAGGACGAGGATAACGAGGCTGCGGCCAAAGAGGGGGTGTTCAAGATCTTCACTGGATCAAAACATGATACCGACCTGGAGCGAGTCTGAAAGTCAGCATCCCTCCTGATGCACTGCTGCGCTTGCATATGTTGGCTTTTGCCCCAGGCTCTCGCATTTGAACCATGACTGCACTTTTGGCTTCTCCATCTGCTCCTGAAGATCAGCAGCTGATAGCCCCTCGGCGGCGTCATAATCTTCGTTCATCTCCTCGAAAAGCATCTTCAGGCGTTGTGCGTACACCTGCTTCTCCCTGAGCTGGGCCTCGATGGTAAGATCCAAATCCTGTTGGGCTCCCTCGATGGCATTCTGACAGAAGACACCTGTCACCACATCCGCCTGCACCGCGAGGCACCAAGTGGAGTGTCATGATGTCCTCAGAATCCCCAACTATTACCTTAGGAGGCAACTACTGGGAGGTTTTCGTCGGAAAGATTGCGGATGATTAAGCCCCATTTGAGAGCTGTTGCGCCGGAGTGGGCCTCGGACTAAGCAGGATTAAGCCGGATTAAGCGGGATTAAGCGGGATTGAGCCGGATTAAGCGGGATTAAACCGGAATAAGCCGGATTAGCCGGATCTCGGACAAGGGCAACATCAAAATTTGACCTCTCAGGAGTTGCATCCGAAATTACCCTTTGAAGGTGCCCGAAGCCCCGAGTGCTGGGCGCTCCTGTGAGCTATTAAAAAAGTCTGGCGCGTGCATCCTGGGGCTTCCCGGGTATCGCCTCTCCTGAGGCCGGGGGCGCTCGAGACAACCCAAGCGGGCCCCGAGACGGCCCAAGAGGCTCGTGGATGCCATGACACTGGACACCCTAACAGTCCTATCATCGAAAAAACATGTCGTTAAATTGCGGAACATGTTCTGAACATGTTGTTTAACATATTTTCACATTATTAAACAATTTTAACACACTTCTAGACATCTGGAAATTATTTGGCAATACGCTTCCTCTCCATTGATCGTCCTCCACAACACGAGGCTTCCAAGACGCCCAGAAATGGCACCAAGAGGCCCCCCACGAAGGCCCCAAGGGGCAAGCATCGATGGGTGATCTTCAGTTGTTGATTCGCACATCCATGCCACCAGCCCTTTGGGCTTAGATTGTCTGACGAGCTCTTCCCTCTTCCAAAACTCCTCTTCCCTTCAGGTAGGGGCACCCCCCTTCCCCTCCCTGAGGTTTTCTGGGGCCGGCCGCGATCGGCCAGGGCGCCCAAGATGACTCCAAGAGGGCCCCAGATGCTTCAAGATGGCCTCCAAGGCGGCTCAAGATAGCAGAAGATGATGCAATATCGGAGGTTGGGAGGTGAGATCGCAGTGGAACGGAGACCCCCAGTCGGGAAATCGTTTCGATTCGTTCGTGTCGTTCGTGCGGGCGAGGCGAAGCTGCGTGGGCGCGCGAGAGGAATGAACCCGTCTTTGCTAGGGCGAAGTCAAGACAAATGTTGCTCCCCTGTCCGTCCGTCAATGCGTCCGTCCGTCCGTCCGGCGGTGACCCTAGCGGTGTCCCGCGGTGTCCCGTGGTGTCCCGTGGTGTCCGCCGTTGCTAGGGCGAAGTCAAGACAAAGATTCTCCCCCGCCCGCCCGTCCGTCCGTCCGTCCGGCGGTGGCTCGCGGTGTCCCGCGGTGCCCCGTGGTATCCTGTGGTGTCCCGTTGAGTGAGATCGATACTGAGATCGATAAGAAATCGATACTGAGATCGATACTGAGATCGATGTTGTGCCCCCAGGTGTCCCGTGGTGTTCCAAAAAGTGAGATCGATAGTGAGATCGATAGCGAGATCGACAGGTGTCCCGTGGTGTCCCGTGGTGTCCCGTTGAGTGAGATCGATAGTGAGATCGACAAGTGTCCCGTGGTGTCCCGTGGTGTCCCGTTGAGTGAGATCGATAGTGAGATCGATAGTGAGACCGATAATGAGTTCGAGAGGTATCCCGTGGTGTCCCGTGGTGTCCTGTTGAGTACGATCGATAATGAGATCGATAGTGAGATCGACAAGTGTCTCGTGGTGTCCCGTGGTGTCCCGTTGAGTGAGATCGATAGTGAGACCGATTGAGTCAGATGTTGGTTTCCCCCCCTCTCCCCCCCCCCCCACAACACCCTTGTCACACGAAGGGTGGTCGTATAGGTAGCTTTCGGCATACCTCCAAGAGGCCCGCCGAGGGCCACACGACGGTTCCAAGTGCTCTCGGACCCCCCCAGGGCCCCCCCCCAAAGAGGCCAACATCCATCAAATACCTGGGGGCAAACGGTGATTGTTGCTTTATCGCATTTTCGTTTCAGTCGTGCTTATGAGGCCTCAAGATAGCCCCTATGATGGCCCAAGGTAGCTCCAAGAGGTGCCCAAGAGACCCCCAGCATGGCCCCAAGAACGCCAAGATCGGCCTAAGAGCGCCCCAAGATGCGATTTCGATGGCCCCAGGTGGGGACGGAAATGTAGGACCCCCCCTCACCATGTATCGATAGCCTCCAAGATGGACTCTTGTCAAGAGGCCCTGCAGGGCTCCCACCCAAGACGGCCCCAAGGGCGCACAAGAGCGCCCTCAAGAGCGTTCCACGAGGGCCCCGAAAGGCGGTTTGCCTCCTCCTCCTCCTCCTCCTCCTCCTCCTCCTCCTCCTCCTGCTTCCCTCACTCCCGTTTCCCATGGATCAGGCAAGCTCTGTTTCACTGTATGTACCTATGCGTCCCTTTTTCCGTTAGCTCTCATAGGCAGGGTTTCTGAACGGGCTGGTGGGGACACGCGAAGCGTGAAGAATTTTGACAATATCGCCGAGCTTGCGACGCTCAAAGGCTGTCCAAGAGGCCCCAAAGATCGCCCCAAGAGGCCCAAATTGGCAGAGGAGAGCGCCAAAAGAGAGAGAACTTGAACTGACATTTTGAGCCCTCCGCCCCAAGATGAGTCCCGAGACCGCAGGCCCCGCAGAAGGCCCCAACGAAACCCCAGGAGGCCCCCAGCAGGCTCAAAGGATGCCCCCCGAGCCCCAAGACACCACCCGAAAACAACATCCGAGAGGCTTCCAAGAGGCCTCCCAAGAGATCCCCACAGGCATCTAAGAGGCCTCCGACCTACAACACAGACACGGTGGCGGGATGGACCGAAGGCCGCGATATTGAGTACAAAGAAATATACAAAAGTTATGTACAGCAGGAATAGCATCGTCCACATTGTGTTTCCGGTTCCCACCAACGGGGCGGTGAGCTCGTGCCAGTTGATACCACCAGACACTGCCATCCAAAGGCTCAGCATTGACCGGAAAAGGTCCCCGTAGTACAAAACGAGATACTCATCCTCGATTATTCTGCCACCCTCGGTATGCTCTGTCACAGCCTGCGTCAGGATGACTCCAAAGGCGTAGATGATCATGAAGAGCAACAGGAGTGCCCAAAACACAGATTTGCTCGCAGATGCTATAGAATGCACAAGCACCCGGAGGGGCTTCAGTTGGCGAAACGTTCGAACGATGCGAAGAAGCCGAGTAAGGCGAAAGAGGCGTAACATCTTTGCCATCCCGCCGTTGCCGAACAGATTGCGATTCCCGCTCGAGACCACCTTCACAATCAGCTCTAAGGCAATCTCAACGAGCGCCAGGAGAAGGATGACAATATCGAAGCAATTCCAGACCCGGTCCTTTACAAAGTAGCTGAGCCTGAACGCGTACACTCGTGCGAACACCTCCACCGCAAACATGAGAGTGAGCGCGTAGTTCGCTGCCGACAGGACAGATAACAGCTGGTCCGAGCCTGACCTGAGAAAACAAGAAACTACCAATGCTTTACCGCTGCTTCCTGGACCCCTCCCGGGATGCGCTCCGACCAGGATTTCGAGGACAATCCAGCCGTGGCGACGACGGCTCTCCAGAACGAGACGCGCCATCGGCATATGTTCCTCCTCTGGTGACCCTCGTTGGGACAGGCTAGAGAGAGTCTGCGTTTCGATGCCAATCAGCAGCGTGCTGATGATGATCACGAGTGCTGACGCCACGGTGAAAGCACGGCTGTTCACGAACAAGACGGCCGGCCGTCCATCCACCGTTCGCATCGACCGCGTAGAACTTCTGCTGAAGGTCATCGACTTCCTCACCTCGGCGCTGAACTGCATCCGTCCTGCCCACGAGGCGGTAGGATCGGCGCCCCAGTTGCGGCTGCCCGAGCGGGAGAAGCCTGAACGCAGACTGGGCAACTGCGAGAGCTGGCTGAAAGGGTTGCGAGCAAACCTGCTGGAGGAGGAGAGCCGCGACTGGGGGACCTCCGAGGTCGCGACCGACATCTGCGTGTCCGCGCTCTCCACCGAGCGCCTCGAGACCGCCGCCTGCACCGTGTCTGAGCAGGAGGAGCCGAGGCAACCGCAGCGGCTCGAAGTCGGCCCCTGGGCCCCCCCGCTGGGGCCCGAGCGCGCCGGCTTCCCGAGCTGCGCCCCGCTGCGGCGACGAGGCGCCCCCCCGAAGGCCAACCGCCGCTGTCTCGGCTGCTTCCCTCTGCACGCGGGGAGCCTCGGGCTGCACCGCGGCTGCGGCGTCGGGCTGGGCCAGCGCGCCCCCGACCGCCTGGTGGGAGCCCTCGCTCAGGTCGGAGGTCAGCGAGGGCCACACCTGCATCGGCGCGGCCTCTGGCAGCGATGGCAGGTTCCTGGCCCGCGGCAGGGCGCGCTCGCCGACGCCGCCCTCGCCCGCCGCCGCCGGGCCCTCGGCCGCGCCCGGCGCCTCCGACACCTCTCAGGGCATGCTCGACGACCTTCAGGACGCGTGTTAGCGTTGACGTGGGCCTCATCCACCGACGCAAGCGGTGCAACGAGGGCCGACACAGCCCGCGTGCCGTCTGCGGAGCAGAACGGCGCAACGCACACACACACACACACACACACACACCCACACACACACACACACACACACACACACATACACACACAAACATTGGGCTAACGCAAAGCCTGAGGATGATCGACATGCTCGTGGGTGAGAAGGACATCCGTGTCAACGGCCTCGCGGGCCGGGTCTCGGGGCCACGACCCCGCGAATGCGGGGCGTGATTTCGCGGATGCCCCGCGCGGAACGTGTCCGTTCGACCGCGTATCTGCCAGGTCGCGCCCCGGAGCCCAGATCGCGAGAGCGCGGCTACGGATAATCATGCTCGCCGCTCGCCACGCATGGGAACGGGGGGCCCAGGCGGAAGCAGCTCCCAGGCACCCAGGGCGTTCCCCGGTCGGTCAGCCCTCTAATGAATTGTGTTAACGATATGATGCAATCTGATAGGGTTTGTGAAGCTGCACAAGAAGTTGTACAAACATTGAAACCATGAAATGGCATTCAAAATACATAGGCAGTGATGTGTGAAGTCAGAATAAATAGTAATAACACTAAGGAAGACATAACAACACTGGAATAAACAGGACAATCCCTGCTATGATGCCTTGGATACGTCGAGTTGCTTGCCGTGCTCTTCGACGGCCCGCCCAGGGACCCCAGGCAGGGCTCGGAAGGGGGCCCCCGAGAGCGGCGGGAGGCCTCTCCAGAGGGCGCCCCTCCTCCAGGGGGGGGGGGGGGGGGGCCTTCTGTTCGGGGCGAGCCTCCCGCCACGCGGGCCCCGAGACCCGGAGGGGTCCAAAGGGGGTGCTTTGGGGTTTGGGGGAGGGGGCTTTCCAGGAGGGGCCCCCCAGGGGGCCTCACACCCCCTGTTCTGACAAGGTTCCGAGGCCCGCATTCATCGGTCCTGCTCGGTCCTGCTCGGTCCTCCTCACCCATCCACGCCCCGGGAGGAGGAGGAGGAGGAGGAGGAGGAGGAGGAGGAGCAGGAGGAGGAGGACGAGGAGGAGGAGGAGGAGGAGTTGGAGGATGAATAGGGGGAGGAAACCTCCCCCCCCAACAACCCCCAGGAGTGGTCCCCCAGGGGGGCTCTCTGGAACACCCCCCTCCCCCAAAACATCTCCTTCGGAACCCTCCGGGAGACCGCCATGGCGAGACGGAGCGCGCCACGACCTCCGATCAGCCAACGGGGGGGGGGGGGGGCCCGCCGCGCGGCCTCCCGCAGGGGCCTTCCAGGGGGCCTCGCGGGCGCCCGATCGGGACGCCCTCAGAGCACGACGCCCAGGCCCAAGCAGCCACGAGGGGGGCGGGCCAGCTCAGCGGGGGAGAGAGCACGAGCCACAACAGATGGGGGGGAAACATCGAGCCTGCACCGGCGAGACGTCGCCCAGAAACCAGCGATGGGCCCCCGACAAGGCGGGGTGGGCCATCGGGCCCCTACTGGCGATGTGTGCGCGATTGGGGGCCCGCCCGACGCGTTCTCCCCCCCGATCCTCTTCTAGTCTATCTCGCTGCCCCTGACCCACCCCCAGCAATGGGATGTCCTCTGTTTTTATTTTTCCGATACGGGGTCCCCAGAAGTCCCGACCCTTCCCCCAAGGCCGGCGTTTCATCCCGAAATGTCTTTCGACGGTCCCGGGGCCCGGCGAGGGGCCCCAGGGGACGAAGGCAGCAAAACACTGCCCATCGTGT